ATTAAAATAGTTTCTTACACCCAACCGGTGGATGTAAGATTCGCTTACAATTATGTGGGATTCATCATCAGAGGATGTAAGTGGAGACCGCATGAACCGAGGATGCGATATACCTAGCTGCGGTCCGATGTAAGAAAATTGGAGACCGAAAAATGTGCAGTGTATTAGTGAGTGAAATTAATTATGTCGAAAAAAATAGAAAAAAGGTTGCCGACTGGACTCGAACCACGGACGTTGCGACTATCAGACCTGTGCTTTCTCCACTGCTCTCTCTATACTTCTGAATATATTCAGACTAAAAGCAAACATGAAGCGCTCATTTTCTCGCATGCTCGACTTCGTATGCTTTTTCTGCTGGAGAGATTCGAGATAAGTGTGTGCGTCGTTCTACAATGTTCTACAATGTACGTCGTTCTACAAGCTTACTGGTATAGTCGAAAGCGTAGATGGAACACGAAATAAAAAAAGACAAAAAACCATTACATCGCCTGCATGGTCAATTTCTAACATTCGTTGCGATGTTCATGAACAGAGGATGATAGGAAACGGAACTAACATTCATTGTAATAGATTTTTGGTTTGCGTGTAGACTTCAAAAATTACAAGACTTTTTTTCCTTGATTTGTTTTACGTCGATCTTGTTTTCCGTTCTGAGCACCTATGCCACCGCAGCTCCCACACCTGGACCCTACCTATCGACAGTGGTGGACAAGGAAACTAACCGGTACACACATGTACTGGTACGGTCCTCAAAATTGCAACACGTGCGAACGAATGATGCACACCGTGAAAAGTTTTCATTTCATTTACACGGTAAACGAAACTGAAACCAAAACCGGGCCTCGGTTTCGAAAACACAACCGAATCCATCAGCACCGTTTTACACGTGTAAACGAGTTTGGGGTCGGGTGTATTGAATATCAACCATGGATTCGGTTCAGTTTTTGCAAACCGAACCTGGTTTTTGCTGATCATGGCTAAACGGTTGGGCGAAGAAGTTGTAAATGGAGGTGCAGGGCTGCCGAATGTGCAAGTGAATTAAAGCTTAGATGATCAAAATTGAAAGAGCCAATCTGTGAACTACCCCACAATATGGGTATTTTTGGAATCGTGGTGACATGAAGGAACTGAATCGATGTCTGACGCCATTTTGAAATCCAATATGGCGGTTTCCGGTTAGAGAAAATCTGGCAAATACTGTCAAATACCTCACAATATGGTTATTTTTTGTATCGTGGTGACATGTAGGAGCTGGAAATCGATGTCTGACGCCACTTTGAACTCCAAGATGGCAGCTTCCGGTTGGAGAAAAACTGGGAAATACTGTCAAATACCTCACAATATGGATATTTTTGGAATCGGGGTGACGTGTAGGTACCGGAAATGGATGTTTGACGCAATTTAGAAATCCAAGATGGCGACGCTTTTCTCTAACCGGAAGCCACCATCTTGGATTTAAAATGGCATCATACATCGATTTCTGATCTCCACATGTCCCATATTGTGGCCAGTATTTTCCAGTTTTTCTTTAACTCGATGTCGCCATCTTGGATTTTAAAATGGCGTCAGACATTGACTTCTGATCACGTCAATGTTTTTTTTCAAAACTACCTGCACGTCATGCCGATTCCAAAACTACCCATATTGTGGGGTACAGTGCTGAGTTGCATCACGGTACTGACAGCCTTTAAATTGACAAAAGAGATTCCTACGGTTAACAATCAAAACAACTGAGAACCCTCTCACCGTTAAACTTCTCACCAGTATGACACAGCAACCGTGAGATATCCTTGTTTTGCTTTTCTCACTCATTCGCAATATCACTAACATCTGCCATGTGCTACGATCATATCACCGACGAAATATAAACAGACATATAAATTGATCGTCATCTCATTTCGAGCATAAATACGGTTTGACGGTCATTCCCCTTCCAAAATCACGAATGAGGCGATAGCTGTGATGTATCTAGGAAAAAGTCTTATCCTGCGTTATACAATCGTATCATAACCAATAATTATTATTGTGAGAATTCATATCTGGTTACACGTAGACTGCAGGTAGAGTCACGAATGCTTATTCATGGATAGAGATTTTGCAGCTATTAATTTTTTCGGATACCGTGACGCTTGAGCTCCAAGAATAAGGATGCTGACCGCATATCGTATCCACATTACCGAAGCCCAAGTATCAAGGGATCCGTAAAAAGCAAAACCAATAAAAAATCCTTGCGTAAACAGGAATTCCCCTCTAAATATTGGAATTGTGGCTAGCAATCAAAGCAACCATTGCACACTGGGTCAGGAACCGAAATTAGCAAGGCAAAACCTCTAGCGCATTGGGTTTGCATTATATTGAAATAGTGTCTTTGGCAAAGTTTCTCGGTTTAACATGCGCCTTCATCTGGCAGTAGAAATTAGTTCCAATTTTCTCCGCATAGATGGTGCTGCGATACTTACTTTCTTATTTCACATGCTATAGGTTTTATGTCTTCAAGAAAGTTGTAGAACATTAAAAAATATAAAACAATGCCGAAAGACTCAAAGTTCTAGGTCTTCAACTAACAAAGATATAGTGAATATTGTAAAATTTAACTGAAATTTACGTTTTTTGTACTATTTTCCATACAAACGACAAATCCTTCATTTTTAACGCCGTTTATCTTTTAAGTTGGATAATTTGCAAGTTTTAAGGAAGATTTCCCAATGTTTTGGGTCGGTACAAGCGAAATATTAGCCAAAATAGTGAAAATTACCATGATTTTTATAATCTGGTTTCTCGAAAAGTAGCAAGTTTTAGCAAAAAGTCATTTACTTTCCGAAATGTACCATTTATCATCAATCAAAGGTGAAAGTCTGCCGGACATATAATTTTATATATTTGAGATATCTAAATTCATAGACTACAATGTTTATTCAAGCAGCGTTCGCCAACGCACGGCTTGCTCGCTGCATGCGATGGAAACGATGGAATATGTCTCTTATGCTTCGCTAGCTGCACGTTGGCGAACGCTGTACTTATGTATGCACGCTGTACTTAGGTAGTGATGAAAAACGTCGCTAGAACTATTCCACAGCCGCAGTCAGTTTATGAGCAAAAAGAGGGACGCACATTTTTGCCTGTGGACTTTGAGACATACTTCAAGTCCCCGCGTACATCGTACGGGTTAGGCAAAAATGTGCGTCTATCTCTAAAAACTGTCGCATTAATGGCCCTTCGCTCATTTTCAACTTCTATTCAATTTTCATACTGCCGTACTCTAACGGAACTATCCAACTACCCTCTTCTAAAGATCATTCTCTAGCTAATGAATCATCACACTAAAGCTTCATGTTAGCATTTCCAACCAACTCAGTATTTCCCAGCTTTTCTCTAACATGAAGCCGCCATCGTGGATTTCAAAATGGCATCAGACATCGATCCCTGCACGTCATCCCGATTCTAAAAATACCCATATTCTGGAGTATTTAACAGTATTTCCCAGTTTCCTCTAACCGAAAGTTGCCATCTTGGATTTTGAAATGGTGGCTGTCATAAATGGTTGGTATGGGTAAGATGTTTAGAAATAATTTTTAAATAATTATATAAATTTTTTAAAAAAATCTGGCACCACTTGCACGTCTGTAAAATATCAACCCAAAAACACAACCGCTACACACTCTTGGTTCGGTTTTGTGTTTTTCATTTTTTACATACCAAACTCGTTTACCTGTAAACAAAAATCAAACATAAACCGGGGTGTCGTGTAAACGAAACACGCGTTGGTTTAAAAGCTTCGATGGAAACACAACCAGCAGTTAAACCAAACACGGTGTGTAGCAGTCGAGAACACTTGTTGTGCTTTGGTGAACGGCACCGGTACGCAACCGGTTTTTTTTCCCAACTCTGCCTATCGACCCATCAACTCATGAACCGGGGACCAACGGCTTTACTTCCCTTCCGAAGGAAGGCGTGATAAGAGATGTTATGCCTCAGAACATTCCGGCGGCGCCAACTGGGATTGAGCCCAGGCCTGCTGGGGTGAGAGGTAATCACGCTTACCACTACAGCAGCGGCGCCGCTAATTACGAAACTTTTAAAATCATTCAATAGAGGGGAGATGGCTCTAATGTTGGCCTATGGATCTAAGATTGGGCCCATCGCTAAAAATCTGCTATTTATCAATTTTATCTAGAACGTGTCATTGGGACGGCACTATTTTAGGTCGCTATTGAAAATTTAGTCGATTGTTGATTTTATATATGGGCCCAAATTAGGGGCATTTAGGCCGACATTACATCCATTTCCCCTATCATAGAATCAATAAAAAATCAAACTATTTAATGTTGTAGCTTACAAAATTTATTTCGGTCTTGATGCTTAAAAAATATCATGCTTCATCCCTTAAAAAAATGCTGGGAATTCATTCTGATTATAAATAAAAGGGGGCATCCACATTCACTCTACTTACCCGTGCTTTGGCAACGTCGATGGAACAAGTATATGAGGGTTTGTGTGCGTGTGTGTGTGTGTTGCAGTTAATGCAATCATCGTTATTTTGGATATCTTTCATTTCTAAAGCAAACAAATTGAGGATAATTTAGGTAAAATTTGTTTATTGATTCATTCAAAATCCGCCCTTGACTTTTCATTCATAGAGTTCACGATTTTGACATCATCTTTTTGCACATCACCACCTTTTACATCATTTGCGATTTTTGTTTTACAAAATTACTCTAGCACTGCCCATTCACTAAATAGTCGATAGCATACATTACATCTTTACACTGTCTTTGCTGTAAAACCAACACTATCTACATGAGTTTCTCACCTCACGGAATTGCTTGATATTTTACCTCGCGTCATCGGCTTAAAATAGTTTTTGGTGGTTGTTTTTCCATTTTATTTGTTTTCTTTTGTGCTCAATGAGCTGTGTGGATATTGGAACCCATAAGAGAAAAACGATATGATTCAGTCGTACATGCTCCATTTCTCGTTCTCCTGCATAGTTTTATGATATATTTTTCCAGTTCTCCATTTCTCTTCCAAGTAGTGTGCGGTTATTGTCCAGTCAGTAACGCAATTTCTCAAACCGTTTTTGTTTTCGCTCCTTGTTTTGATTTATTCTAAAAGTCATTCTAACGCAGGTATTCAGAAGAAGATTCCTATTCCGGGAAAACAGTCAGATAATTAGAACTTTTAAAATCAATCTTTCTCTCTAATACTGTACTAGTTTCTAATAGTTTACAAAGGTCGGTCGCCATTCTTCAGGAAAAATTCGCTATTAAAAATTCTCGTTAAAACTTCATAAGTTTCACTTGTTATTCATCCACATTGATTCTTAACCCTTTGATGCACAATAATTCGTTAGCTTCATTTCCTTTATTGGATCTACTTAAAATAGTTTTCGAGTATTATTTGTTTACCATTATTTCTATTTCATTTTCTCGTTCATTCAATTTCCGCTGTGCGCTCGAACTTACACATTCGTCTAGCATTCCCGCTACGAAAAGAAAACTTTTTTTAATCTAAAGGGAAGTAGAACGCATTCACAAGTCCCGCAAATGTCTAGCAAGGTACGACTATACACCTTATAAAATATTATATACAACTTTCCTGTATTCGGTTTGATGTCGTAACCACTTCCGGTCGAAACCGGTACTCGTTGAGAGTGGACGTGACGAGCGATTGGGACGCGGGGCTGCTCAGGAGGTTGCTCACTCCAACGCCGACGCCACCCACAATCGATGGCAGTGGCAGCGTTGTACTTGCGGACGTTGGCTGATGACTGAGGGGACTCAGCGTCGACTGCACGCTATTGCTGCTATTGTTCGTTCGACCCAGGGTCGCATAACTCTGTGAGATAATTATTGCGTTGAAAAAAGAATAAAAAAATGTTTTTGATGAGCGTAGGTTTACTTTTTTATCAACAGCGTGTAGCATTTTCGGCTGGTAATTGTGGGAAATAAATTAATTTATGATATAATTATCTGAACAAATGTTTTACACGGTTTGCACCGCTAAGTTGCAATTTACATGGTGGGGTTTTAATAATTTTTGATAATGATACAACCTAGCGACTCCATTCAAATCACATTATCCGTTTCAAACCATAGGTAATCGAATGGGTTGCTTTAAAAAACATCACAATTTTCGGTGCGAATACAGACATTTTAAAAATAGCTACAATTCAATTTTTTTAGAAATATGTTTGCATGTGAAAATAAAATTAAAATGAAATAATTTTTACACTGTACATATCTCCCGTGTAAAAAAAATACCTGAATGTACAAAATTTATATCTATAGGGTAGGTGTTCCAGTTATAGTGGTGTACCTATAGTTGCGGTATTGTGGTTGTTCGGAATTAATGAGGGAAAACTGGATAAGGCTATTTTGCATTGATAGCTCCCCTAAATTAAAGCAGATTTGCATTTTTCAAACTTAAAATTATCCCAAAAATATTGGACAACAATTGATTTTCCATAAGATTTAAGCTCCTTTGCACCTATAGTTGTGTGAGAGTTCCATTAATAGTGGAACCCGTAAGAAACCAATGCGTTCCACTATTATAGCAACCAAAGTTAGCAACTACCACTACTACTGGAACAGCGTTCCTATTAATGGAGGACAAGTTTTCGAAAAATGTATTTAATTACGATCTAATATTTTTCTTGCAAAATAGAGATTGTAACCTATAGTTTGACGAATACAAATTGTGATTACCTCTTTTATTATTTTTTTTATAAATAAATTGTCTTAGTTCCTTCACTACTAGATCACACCCTATAATTAAGTAAACTGAAAACTACACTAACTCTGAAAACTGAAGATAATCCATGACCATCTCTAAGAATTGGAGATAAAACCGATTTTTTTTTTTAAGTAATAGGGTAGTGTGGCCCAACACTCTAATATCTGCGAAGATCCAGAGCATCCATACCATAGAAATTTCCAGAAACTTCTGTAACCTACGAAGTCTTCCAAGCTAACAAAAGTTTAAGGTCAGAGGTTAGGGTATTTTGGAACACTCTTAAGAATTTTTGAAATTATTGTAGTTTTTAATGATTGAAATTCTTGGAGTCCCGGAACAGTTTCGATAGTTCAATAGGGCTGACTTGCCAATGCTCATTAGAGCTAAAATACTCCTTTAGAAATTATGAAACTATGAAATATTATAATATGTTTCTGTGTAAGACGCAAGAAGAGAAGGTAAATTTTGCTTTCAGAAGGTCACAATTAGCGAATTTAGTTGTAAAGACCAATCGCGATGAGTGAGTGCTCATCGCTAATTGTGACACTTTGGATGTGAAATTTACAGGTTTTATGTGTCATGCACAAATTTTATCTTCTCTTCCTACATCTTACAAATAAAAAAATATCGTTATAATATTTCATAGTTTCATAAATGTGAATAATAACATTTAAGCTGTAATGAGCAATTGCAAAACTGGTTGTGGGCATGGTAAACAGAGTGCCACAGTGAGATTTTTGTAGCTCTGTTGCAAGATTTTTTGGAGATTTTACTCACTGTAAATAGTCCCAAGAATGAAGAATATCTTTAAAATCCGTCGGGTATCTAGGTTTCTGAAGTTCTGGTAGCCCCCGGATCTCTATGTCTACTTTCAGTAATTTACCATTTTCCCGGTGATTCCGGATATTCAGAGGGACCGTTTTCAGGCCACTCGGTAGCAGAATAGATATGATGATGGCGAACCAGCCAATGGCTGAAAGCCTTGTAAATAAAGGAAAAAAAAAAAAGATATGATGATGACATATTTCCTTTATGCTCATGATTGCATGCAATTTTGTAAACATGTGAATCTCTAGGTCTACTTTCAGGAATAGACCATTTTTCTGGTGATTCCGGATAAACAGAGCACCGTTTTCTGGGCTCTCAGTAACAGAATCGATGTGGTGATTGCATATTTCTTCTTTGCTCATGATTGCTTGCAATTTAAAAAAAAAATCACGGATCTCTACACAGCAAAAAATAATTTTGATATCACATCAAAGTGGATGCACTACAATCATGTCGAAAATTTTATGTAATTTTTATGACCACATAAATAAACAAATGCAGTTAAAGCAGCGTAATGTCAGTTCATGCATTGTATTAATGATAATTTTGTCCTTTTTAGCAAGTAACATTACACCATATTTTCGACATGATTATAGCATAGAGGTAACTCTAAGACTAGTAGGTCCCGAAGAAACGTGCTCAACTTTTTGGCTCAACTCTGGTAGTCTCTTCGGTCCCAAGCTAATCGATTCACCCCTCGAAACATAGGAAAAACCAATAACCCCTCATTTTATCTGTCAAACTTTCATTGCGAATCCAAACAAACACTGCGTAGTACTAGAATTTCGACTAGAATGGGATACGTTAATCGTTTGCTTGGGACCAATAGGCTAGTCAAGTAGTGTGCCAATTTAAAATCGTTAGTTTTTTCGTATTGATTGTTGATTATAGTGCATCCACTTTGACGTGATATCAAAATTATTTTTTTGCTGTGTAGATCTATTTTCACGAAGTGACCACACACTACGAAAATGTCATGTAAATTTACGTGCCCTGAGACCAACACATGCAAGCGGCCCAAATGACATAAGAATCAGTTGGAAGAAATGAGAAAATCAATTCAATCAAGCGTGCTTTTCGTCGAGTTGCGTATGTTTCGGTTTGGGAACACTTAATTTTACATGACATGTTTGTTTATGTTCCATCATTTACGTCAAAGATGGATTACGTCTCGTGTAAAAATAGTTATTTCTAAGTGTGTACACATTCCAGTCAGATATTCGGACCTGGTTACAAAGTATTTCGCTGCGATCGGAATGAACACAATAGTCAGAAATTAAGCGGTGGAGGCGAAGTCATAGCTGTAAGTAATAAACTGAAAGCGAGGGTCATTGAGAACGATATGTGGAATTGCGTTGAACAGATCTGGGTAGCCATCGAGCTAGGAGACCGAACCTTTATTATCTGCGTCGTGTATTTCCCTCCAGACCGTACACGTGACTGTTCATTAATTCGTGCTCACACCGAATTGATCTTACAGGTTATGGAAAGTATGGCACCAGTCGACGAGGTTATTATTTTGGGTGATTTCAACCTTCCTGGGATATCGTGGCTGCCATCTCACAGTGGTTTTCTGTATCCTGATCCTCAACATTCCGTATTTCATGCCGAAGCTACAAACCTCCTCAACAGCTATAGTACAGTCACACTAATGCAAATCAATGCCGGCGCCGGTGGTGTAGTGGTAAACGTGACTGCTTACTTACCCCAATGGGTCTGAGTTCAATCCCAGTCGAGGTCGGTGGGATTTTTCTGAGGCATAAAAATATCTGGTCACGTCTTCCTTCGGAAGGGAAGTAAAGCCGTTGGTCCCGACCCCATGTGTGTTTAATGGGTGCGATATCCTACACAGCTAAAAAAAAGTAGTGTAAATTTCCGTTACTATGATGCACATAAATGGAGCGTCATAAATCATACAAATTTACATTATAAATCGTGTAAATTTATGAGACATGTCATGCAATATTCCATATATTGTATGCAACTTTCCACCTTTGTTTTCAACATTTCTTGGAAGTTGCTAGTTTACGTGAAAAGGAACTTTACGTGCATGAATGTTTGCATGCATGGATGTTTACATCACCAGTAAAATTCAATTTTTTTTAGTGTGTACGCAGGTGTGGAAGCTGCCTTCCTGCACATTTGATTGCCGTCAATGGATGGCAATCGATGTCCGTCGGTGATTGGCACTAGATTGCGAAACAGAGACCGACGTTAAATAAAGGAAATAAGAATAAGAATGCAAATCAATGACGAGGTCAATGAAAACGGCCGTAGCTTAGACCTCTGCTTCATTAGTGCCCAGGATGTTGCTCCGACTATTTCTGTTGCACCTGCCCCACTAGTGAAAATCCTCCCGCATCATGTCACTGGAAGAGAGACGATCGTGCCCATTGCTATTTCCCCGATCCCAATCTACTATGACTATCGGAACGCAGATCACCACGGTATTGAAGATTTTCTCTCCGAGCTTGACTGGGTCAATATTCTCAATAGAAACGATGTCGAAGTAGCTGCCCAGTTGTTCTCTCACATTATGGCTTACGTCATTGACAGATACGTGCCAAAAAAGTGAACCGAACTGGAACACACTCTCCATGGCAATCCACTGAGCTACGGCGACTGAAAACAGTGAAGGAATTACACGAAGCACCGCACTCTCTACTCAAGAACCACTAGGTGAAACTCAGTAAAAAGTTCAAACAAATCAGTAAACGTTGCTATTCACGCTTTCAACGTAGTATCCAACGCAAATTCAAGTATAAACCAAAGTCATTTTTGAAGTACGTTAACGAGCAATGCAAGGAACCTGGTATTCCGTCTTTGTTGGTTCTGGAAGGGGAAACGGCTACCGATCCAGGCGAAATTTGCCGTCTATTTTCCGTCAAGTTCGCCAACGTATACACAGATGACAATTTATCTGATGAGCACGTCTCTGCTGCTGCCAGTAACGTACCATTACACGGACAGACCTTTGAAGGAATCGATGTAGATAACACGATGATCATCAAAGCAGCTCACCGGCTGGGTTGACACAATCCGAGGCCAGACGGAATACCGTCCATTATCCTGAAGAACCATAACGAATGCTTACTGTCACCACTTCGTCATTTGTTCCAGCTGTCGTTATCTAGTGGGATCTTTTCATCGTGTTGAAAATATGCGCATATGTTTCCCGCGTACAAAAAAAGCAGTATGTAGGCACAATATCGATAACTACCGTGGCATCACTTCTCTGCGTGCTGTTTCGAAATTGTTTGAGTTGGTCATAATGG